GTTAGGATTTTAAAAACTGAGCACTCTAAAGATCAGACAATCCTAACCAGCAGTGTAGCTGTGTCACAACAGCCCGACTTGGTAAATTACACAGTATAGATCTTCAGAGATCTTTTTCACACAGATGCTTTTATTACAGAATGGATCCATTCCCCTCCCTGCTTCTGCCTCAATCCATGACAGTGTCTGTTCACATCACAATGCTCTTCTCCCACATTTGTAAACTGTTACCAGTATATTGATTTCTTTATTTCACACTTGGACCATTTAGATAGTATCCCTTTTTCCCTTCCACCCCACAACTCTGCCTGCTCTCCATACAGGGGCAACTTGTTTTAACACAACTTCTTCATGCAAGAAGGGTGGCTCTAAAGTGGATTTTTGAAATTAACTAAATATTTCCTGGGTAGTAAGCAGTCAGATTTTGAATGTAACAGGTTCAGAATAGGAAAACAAAGGGAGTTATGTTTTGTGAAAACAACCATCAGCGCCCCCCCCTCCCAGGAAGCAACTGTAACAATTTCACATTAAAACCCCCAGAATATCCAGGTAAAGAAATAAACACATTTAATGATATTTTTTTCTGACCAAGCAAAAAAAATATGTGTGCACAGGAACCTTCATCACATTCACAAGATGCTGCTATGGGTAAGTGGAGGGGGGTGGGAATTCCCCATGGACTTTATCCAATATCTGAAATTGCATAGTGCAGTTCTGTTGGCCTTAGTGCAGAGATCTGAGAATGCAACAACAATGAGCTGTGATCATCTGTGCAGCAGAGAAGCAAGAGCCTTTAAGGAGAATAGCAATTCTGCATTTTCTGTTTGTGTGTGTGGCTTTTTTGCATTGTATTTTAGTATTGTAATTTAATAGTTTACATTATTGAAATAGTTATAAATGTTTTATTCTGTTTGTAAAGCAAAATGTACATGAATGGTGCTATATAAATAAATGATGTTAACAACAACAACAATTTAGCAGTAATTGCATTGAATATGGCTCACTATAAAGTCCGATTGTCACATGCATGGTGTTTACATTATCATTCCATGTGCAACTGACCCATCACAAATCAGACATAGAGATATGTCATGACATCTCAGACACAATGCTGTTCCATGGGATCAGTGAATACAATTGGTTGCCAGCTAACATGCGTTGAGTAATCATTTTGTAAAAGTATGTGTGAATCAGTCTTTAATTTAAGTGTAATATGCCCTTCCCCAAGCCAGCATGGTGTAGTGGTTTGAATGTTAGACTAGGACTCTGCAGACCAGGGTTTGAATCCCTGCTCAGCCATGGAAACCCACTGGGTGACCTTGGGCAAGTCATGCTCTCTCAGCCTGAGAGGAAGGCCATGGCAAATCCCTTCTGAACAAATTGTGCCAAGAAAATTCTGTGATAGGTTCATCTTAGGGTCACTATATTATACTGCCATAACAGCCTCACTCTAATTAATTAAGGGAGTATTAAATTATAGCAATGTGAACTAATGTCACACTTGTTTATATCCAAGAATTATTTTGTTTCTGAAAAATGTGGAGTAATGAAAACTCCAAATTAAAAAGAAATGAAAACACTGAAAGCTGTCTTTGTGTTTTGAAGGCAAGTTTATATTTCATATTATGATTAAAGTATCTGAGGTAGTGTGGTATCAATAACCTCCTTTTATAATAACCTTCTTAGGAAGGACATCTAACAGCTCCACTACAGCTTGTAAGGTCTCATAGGAGTAAATATTTTCTATCTTAGAAGACGACATTATACTTATCATTCCTATGACACAGTAGTTACTAGAAGTTGAAATAGAATTACACATAGCAGGCTATGGATACAATCATTATACAGCATCACTAATAATACAGAAAAGAAAAGCAGGTTGCCAATCCAGTAAGATCCCTTATTAATTTTAGGGAGAAAGACAAGAAACGTTAGACTCTGAAATTTGATCATTTTGCAAAACTTGCTGTAATTTATAATTTTGCTAATTTGTTCTTTTCTAGTCATGTTATCAAAATAATTTTTACCAGAAGAAAATGCTGCAGACCTGGCTGCCTACAAATTGACAACTCGTAGATTAGTTACATCATCTTCCAATTTTTGCTGTCCTTGTGAGTCAATGCTTGTTCATAACATTAACAGCACATGGAGGCTACTATCCTATATCTTATATGCTGAGAGTTAAGTCTCAGGAACTCAACAGAACTTACTTCTAAGGAGACATTGTACCTTGGAATACAAGCCTAAACACAGGTTCAAAGGAGCAAGTTACAAGGGAGGCAGAAAGACCAAGCTTCCAAATAAACCTGCATAGGATTACACTGTGAAACAAACAAAAAGGAAATTTCTCATATATTTCAAAGTATTTTTATTATTATAAGTTTTGGAGGTTTATACTCATGCAAGCATGTCTTTTTTCAAATAAAGAAAATAAAGAAAAAATGAGCAATTATCCATCCAGTTTCTTGGAAGTGTTCATTTATTTTTCCAGCAAAAATAGCACATCCTTACCTCCCTGGGTGTGTACCTAATAAAATGCTATTCCAGACAGAACAACAAATTAATCTAAAGGTCACAACGACCTGTCAATCTTATCTAAAGGTCACAATGATCCCTCAATATTAAAACTAGATGTTGAAGCTCCTGGAGTTTTCTGAAGGTAATAAATGTCATGGAGCTTATTAGTGCTCCATAGCAGACGATTCATTAGCACTGTCACAACTTAGAAGTTGAGGGTGAGAAAGTGAAATTAAAAAGCAGTTGACACAGAAAGTCAGACACTGAGACAGGCGTCACAACTCGTGTGTGTGTGTGTGTGTGTGTGTGTGTGTGTGTGTGTGTGGCTTCAGAGCAGCCTCTGCTCATGCCATCAGGGCCTGTTCTTAAGAAATATATGGGGAAAACTGTGAAATCAGGGAAATAACACCTCCTCAATACCAGCTATTTTTAGAGAGAAACCATAATTCCCTTTACCCATACAAGTCAACAGATGTAGCGATGCCTCCATTGACAGAATACAGCCAAAGTACTTTAAAAGGGCCAATTTGCCTCCCTCACATGGCTTTGCTGTTCTGAAGAGCCTCCACCATTAATTGCAGCTCTACAAGCTGGCTCCTTCCTGAACGCCTGACAGTGCTGTTGTCAGAGCCAAGGCACAGAGTAGGTGGCCTGGAAAATTACCTGTGCCGAAGATATGAAAAGTCTGTGGGGCCTGAAATGGGGTGATGTATGCTGCAGACCTGGCTGCCTACAAATTGACAACTGGTGGATTAGTTACGCCATCTGTGGGGTATACAATATGATGCTTTGATTCTTATCTCTGGCTACAGAAAGGTTTAGGCTGCCTTTATCTTCCCCTGATGGGTGCAGACATTTTTGAAAATCAGGCAGACTTTTGGCACTTCACCAGCCATTGAGGATGAGGCTTACTTCCAGCTGAGTGCTGTACGTTTCTCAGTAACGTGTTTCTAAATCATGTTTTCCATTGTGTTTTTAATTTAATTCTGTTTTAATAATTGATGTTGTTTTGTGTTGCAATTTTTCACTTATTTAAAATTATTGGGAGCTGATTTCAGTTCTATTTTGGGGGAAATGTGGTTTATCAACTAACTAAATAAATAATGTTATTTGATTTGCTTCACACACTAATTTCTTTCAATTACTGCTTGAGTAACCCAGGAAGCTGTCTCAAGGTGTTTTGACATCTCTCCTTGCACACTCCAGCAAAGTTACTGCAGAAGCATGCAAAGTCAGAGCCACAGGCATATATGGGTTGGATCTTGAATGTGCAGACACAAAAGCTCCTTCCATCTATGGAAGGCTTCCAAATAATCAGGAGGGGGGGAAATCATCAGTATTCATCAGTTCCACCATTCTATGAAACCCTATTAAACCCTGTCCCAAATCTAAATATTGAGGGCCTGGGAGTGAGGCTGCAGGGAATAAAAATTGCCTCCTACCAACTCTGAGTTGAACTCTGTTCATAGGAAGGACAATAGGTCCGACTTAATGTACAGTACAGTCCCCGAATACCTGGGGGATACATTCCCAGATGTATCACAGACAGCATAAACAATTATGAATGCTATATTTCTGCCAGAAATTGACCACAGAGTTGCACTAGAGAACCTTCAGATGCCTAGACAGAACTTTTTTTTCCCCAGATGCAGGTAAGTGAAACCATGTTCACCTATTCCACAGATATGGGGTTTGGACTGTATTAACGATTTTAAGCTTATAATCCCAGGCACAGGAAATAAATGCAAGAAGAAGACAATAAGAAAGATCCTGAAATCTTTGAAAAACTATAATGAAGTGCAGTGGATAATATGTTTTACTGTCAAATCCCTCTTAATTCCCTCTCTTCTGGTCACTTTCCATCAACAGGGCTGTCATGTTAACTGGCACTTCACATCTTCCAGTCTTCTAAGCTTTCCAACACATTAAACAATTTTGACACCTTCTAGCCTATTGATGAGAGAGGTAGCATTTGATAGCTTCATGTACGCATTTGTATCAAACCTGTCACCATGAGAGATAAATATCCACATTTAGAACTGTCAGTAATACTTGTGTTACTAAAACTGCCCAAAGCACTCTACTAAGAATTATGATATATGCCTCTGTCACACTCCTTGGCTGACAGTTTTCCAAGAATATAAATACTCCTATAAACACTACTAGTTTTATTACTGTGGGGCATCACATGACATCAGGAAGATAATACAGTCAGTTTACAAGGCAAGGTCCTGGAACCTTCAACTTCAGTCCTCTCTAGTTTAAAAGGCAACAATAGCTTCTTTTATATAGGCTTCATTTAACAAAACACACTGCACAGACACACATCATTAACAGCCTATTCCATGCAAATAGGGCCACTACAATGACAGAAAATGTCAATATCCATCAAAAATGTGAAAAGCAAGCCAATCCTGTAAGTATAGTAGTGTGTTAAACACAGCTGGCTATATATGCTCATTTTGGTAAGAAGCAAACAAACCCTAGCACATCTTTAAATATTTTGGTGATCCAGTACTATTTTAAATATAAAGACAACTGGATAACACAGAGATAAATTGGCACTTTTAGTATTATTAAGTGAAATGGAGATAAGATTCTCACACAGTTCTGTAAGTACATCCCCTTATTTTTAGGAAACATGGGGTTGGCTTTCACTTGAAATACATTCTAGCAATTCTGGTTGCTACCTTAACCACACTTTCCAGGAATGACTTCTTTTCTTACACAAGCATGTCAACATCTGTTCTGAATGCAGAAAAACAAGCTGTGTGCTACTATATACTGCACTATAACAAATCCTGATTAAAGCATACTATTTTATATTAAATAATATAAAATTAATATGTGTTTATATTCATTTTAAGCCTCTTGAGTACTATATTTATTCAAAGATACAATCATGTTATTCTGGAAAATCTGTATGCAAAGGGATCTTGTAGCACCTTTGAGACCACTTGAAAGAAAGAAGCTGGTAGCATGAGCTTTCATAGACTAGTCACTGACTCTAATCTTTGAAAGCACATGCTACCAGTTTCTTTCTTTCAAGTAGTCTCAGAGGTGCTACAAGATCCCTTTGCTTACTTGTATTTATGTTCAACTTTTCTTCTTTAAATGAGCTTAGCATTGCACAGTATTCAGCACACTTTACCAGTGTGCTATCTAAGAAACCTATTAACATATGTACACTACATGTAGAAAGCTCAGAAAGTTTAGAAGTTACACTTTGCTTTACTTTCCAGCCTGTCTTTCTCCTGTCTTCCAACCAGCCTTATCTACTATATGCACTACTGTTCTGGATAGATAATATGCAAGTTAGTTCAGGACATGCAACATGTTTTTGTTTGTTTGTTTGTTTGTTTGTTTAGGGCTCTGTAGCAATTAGATAATAGTTGGAATGCATCCTCTTAAGCTAGCATTTGATATTAGAAAAGCTTATACAAACCTTTATTTATTTTATAAATAATATTATAAATTCACAAACAGGTAGCAGAACAGAATAGCCATTAACAAGCTACTTTGACCACTGGTAATGTCATTTTTCTTTAAAATGTAATGTAGCAACAACACAGAGCTTGTTATAGCTGTCAGTTCAAATACATATTAAATATTGTCAAAGGAAGTATCCTATCACTTACTGCATGAACAGTTTTGCCATTCATTGTACAGCAACACAGTGTTTCTGTTATGCTTCTGTTATGAAGCCAGGTCACTCAGTACACAGTCAAATACAACAATAATAGGAGTTAATTAATACGAAAACCAACAAATAAGAATACAGA